AAATATTTATAGGTTGCATCGCTAATTTAGTAGCTGCAATTGCTGTTTATTTTTCAAAATTTGATTTTTTTTTAATTATAATTTTACTGTGTTGAGCATAATCTTCTATGTCTTTACGATTTAAAAACTTTACAATTTGAAAAAGTGTTTTTGCAATAACGGACAATATTTGCACAAATTCACAAAAGCTTGAAAGAATGCGACTTAACGTTTATTTTATATTCACAAATTACGAGTAATTTTTTCGCAATTTTACAAAAACGGACCTTTCACAAAATGTCTGGACAGATCCCTGATTGTAACTAAACATTAATTAATTTCTCCTTCAACCTTACTACAAATTAAACGAACACTTACTACACTATTTTTTTTTTTATTTTATTTATTTATGGCTTTTCCGGGAACTTTGCACAGTAAATTATATCAAAACACGTTTAAGAAAAATAATTCTCTTTAAAAAAAATTAATACAAATAAAAACAAGTATCTAAGCTTGAAATTCACAATGCTATTTCATAACTGTAAAGATTTGTCATAATCATAATTACATGCAAATTAATAACTACCGAAAATTATTATGTTAGTTACTGAACTATTAAGCGAAACTAATCAACGGAAAAATTTAAACGCAGCGATGCATAACGCTTTTATTAATAAAAAAATTCATTTTTCATCCTGCGAAGATGTTTACTTTTAACAAATTTATTTTTATTCTTCAAATAAGAAAACTGATGATTAACAATAGAAATACTTTTTGTTGATTACTTCTTAGCTATAATCAATGAGATCAATGGATAATTTTCTCATTTATAAAGTACTATATATATTAATAATTAAGTTTTCTTTTCCTCCTATAGCAGAGTGAGGAATGTAAAGAAACTCGAAAAAATAAATAAATAAAATAAAGCATAACAAAACAGAACAGATTAAAAGAAACAAAAAAAATTAAAATAAAATACTACACTGTTTTTTATTTTGACAATATCTTTCTCGCATGGTATTATTAGACATTAATACCCATTCTGCCAATGAAAATTATAATTTTGTATCTGTTTTTAATTATTTATAAATAAAGAAATAAATAAAAAATTTAAATTTTCGATAATAGAATGTGTATTAATGTCTATATGTGAGAAAGACACTATCAAAATAAATATTAGCGTAGTATTTTTCATTTTATTTATTTTTTATCTTTCAACAGTTGTTTAGGGATCGCAATATTTTTGTTTGAAAGAAATATTTTTTTCCATTTTCATTTTGTACCACGAAATTAAATTCAGTTCAACTTTTAAATGGATTTTTCCCAAAAGTTTTTATAACGCTTTAATTTCATATTTCGTAATCTGGCAACATAGTTACGAAAATCTTTTTAAACCATTTACTGCAAGTTAATCGTAAGTACAAGCCATCTTTTTCTCTTTTATATGTTCCTTCTTTGTGTTTTATTTTGTTTTATTTACGATATTTTCACCTGATTGAATAGTTAACAAATTAGAATCTCTCTCTCTCTCTTCCCTCCCCCCCCACCTTCTTCTCCCCTTTGACTATGTTAATATGGAAGGCACTATTTCGCGGATATAATTACGTAATTTGATGACAGATTATATATTTTCGAAATTGGTTAGTTTCTTTTATTTTAAATTAATAAAATTATTTAATTTTTTAAATTTTTTAAATTTGTTACTATTTTTATTTAAAATCTTTGTTTTTCTTTTCCTTTTGCTTTTTTGGGGGGTTCTCCTGTTTTCTTTGTGCTTTTATTTTATATGATGGGTTCTTAGTACTTGCTGCTTATACGCAGTTAATAAAAATTAATAAATGTTAAATTTTCTAAACGAGTTGTTGTAAGTTCTAGTAGCATGCTAACCATATAGCCCATTGTTTACTATAGTAATTGGCTATATGGCTAGCACTTTATAATTTTCTTCATGAATAAAATGAATATCAAAAACTTTTTGTTGTTTTTTTATTTATGTTACTTGTACTTTCTTGTAGTATCGAGTAAACAGCTTTCGATATTTCTTGTTTGATTTGGTAGTGAGATTTCTGAAATATCACAAAATAAGTTTTCACTTCTCCAAACAGGCTACGAGTATTGAGTTTTTTGGTCATGCTAAAAGGGTAATAAGAAGATATTACTTTTAAAGGCCAATAGTAAAATATGTTGATAACAAATGAATTAATGAATATTTTCATTGAAAATAAATTATGAATATTGAAACATAATATGTTTAGTTACCTGATTATATATACGTATTTATAATATAATCAGGTAACAAAAAATATTATATGTATGCATTTATATAAATATAAATTTAAAATGTAGAGAAAACATTGAAAAAATTACAGAACAATGAAAAAAGGGAAAAAGTAAAAAAAAAAATTATTATAAAAATAATCAAAATCCTGAAAAAAATCCGAAAAAATGGAGAAAAATCCGGAAAATAAAAGATATAATCTTTTTATCGGCTCACACGATTATATCCATTCTGTCCAAACAAACGNTAATCAGGTAACAAAAAATATTATATGTATGCATTTATATAAATATAAATTTAAAATGTAGAGAAAACATTGAAAAAATTACAGAGCAATGAAAAAAGGGAAAAAGTAAAAAAAAAAAAAATTATAAAAATAATCAAAATCCGGAAAAAAATCCGAAAAAATGGAGAAAAATCCGGAAAATAGAAGATATAATCTTTTTTATCGGCTCACACGATTATATCCGCAAAAAAGAGTGCTTTCTAATATTTTATCAATATAGCCAAAGCAAAATATATCAATACAATAGTGTGAGGAGCACTCAAAAAAATATACATTTTAAATAATATATATATATATTACTTATATATATATATTTTAGGATTTTTGTTTTTGTGTGCATTAGATATTAAAATTAAGAAAGAAACATGCCATTTTTAAAAAAACTTCAAAACATTTGAATTGACTCTCTCTTTAACACCGTGAATGAGTAATATGGACGAAGAAAAATATTTCCTCAAAGGAAAGATAGAAAACCTGCTTTTTACAGCTGATTCGGTAGTGATAAGGGGTTTTTCTAATTGGGCGTACCATTTCTAATTTTTGTCGTTATTTATCGTAGATAAACACAAATTAAAAAAAGAGATCAAGTTTTAGTGACCATTTTATAAAAGACGGTCCCTCAATGAGCGGAACCGGAGACATGCTCAGGTAGATACGGATGCAGTAGCGCCCTCTATAGTAAATACTGAAATGTCAACAATGGACGAACCTCCTCTTAGTGAAATCGAAGTTATTCGATTTTTAGAAAACAGAGGAGGCCGATGCACAAATTACGACCTTGTTAGTAATTTTAGAGGAATATTAAACGACCCCAATCACCAGGGTAAGTGAAAATAAATTTCTTTTCTTTTTCTTTTCCACTCCGTGATCCCTTTCGCATATTCAACAGGTGACGGCAGGCATTTTTTGTTTAGGCTTAACTCCGTGCGTTCTCGGTTTCTACTTTTCGTACAAGGCCATTCACTTTTCTCGGACACCCCGTCACGTGCTTTACCTGCATTAAGTGTTCGGGTCATTGTATGGAACAATTGATTCCACAATTGTCAAATTTCGTTGGATTATTTCGTTTGTTGTTAGTAAAAGTTAATTTTTTCTTCTGATTTTCTTTATGTAGAAATTTTTTTAAGGGGTCTAAGTGGTTTTGATTTCAACTGCAAATTTTTTCAGCCTTTTTATAACTTTTCTAAAATTCGATTTTTTTTTTAATTCTTCAATATGAGCATGTGCGTTATTTGTATGCATATTCTACTGCGAAACAATGGAAATAATCATGTTTATTTATTTTGCAGACATAAAAAGATATTCTATGATGTTAATTTGAATATTAACAGCTCAAAGAAATAAGAAAATTAAAACAAAAGTTTTTTAAATTAATCGTAAAAAATATCTAAAATATTTACCAATATACAAGTGTTAGTATGAATTTAAGCAACATGCTATACTCAAATCAATGGGATACCTGCAAGTGACGTAGTGTATGTATCTCGAGTCTGATTGGTTGTTAAAACGTGGCTTTGTTTGCGTTAGCAACTGTTCTTTCCATTATATTTCGAGTAAACCAAGCCCGTCAAGCATCAATTCTCTTAAATGATACATTCTGTAATCCTTCACAAAAATTCTTTTACAATAAATTAAATTCTCTGACCATATTTTTCTTACTTAACACAAAGCCATGTGGAAAATAAACGAACTAATTATGTATGGAAGTTGCCAGATACACAAAAAAACATACCACGTGTTGCAATAAAATACATAAACAAATAATAAATCTAAGAAAGAATTATATTTCAACAAAGTATTTAATTAACTTTACGTTAATTAACATTCTAACTTATGTGGAAAAACTTTAGCTCAACTTTGACATGCCATTTTGTTTATTGACGATCAACTGGCACTGACGTCATAGGTTTACACGTGTGGGTTTGTTTGATCTTCTTCTTCTCGAAGTGCAAGTGCCCAATTACCAGGTTTTGAAGGTTTATTAGAACTCGAATAATCTTGCACTCTGAAAAAAAGAAATTTTAAGTCAAATTTAATACAATAAATAAATTTAAACAAGAAACATAACAAAAAAAATTAAACAAAAAAACATGACAAATAAATTTAAACAAGAAACATAACTAATAAATTTGATCAAAAATCATGACAAATTAATTTAAACAAGAAACATAACAAATAAATTTAAACAAAAAACATAACAAATAAATTTAAACAAAAAACGTGACAAATAAATTTAAACAAAAAACATGACAAATAAATTTGAACAAAAAACATAACATATAAATTTAAACATAAAACAAATAAGTTTAACAAATAAATTTAAACAAAAAACATAAGTTTGAAGACGATTCAAATTCATAAAAGATG